GACTTTTTCATGAACTCATCTTTCATAATAAAATTCCATAGTTCCAGCTTGGGAATGGAGCTCAGTTGATAGAATAATTGCGTGGTATAACAGGAAAATCTGGGTTTTATTCCAGTACAGCATAAAACCAAGCTTGGTGGTACATTACTTGGGAGGTAGAGGCAGGAGAAGTTGAAGGTTGTCTGTCCTCAGGGAATACTAAATTAAGAGTTAGAAGACAGTCTGAGCTACCATGGACCCTATCTCAAAAGAAAGAAAAGTAAAAGTGAAAGAATTCTAAAGGGTCCCTGCCTGTGTCTCAATACAGGGAAATTCTTTTGGGGTGCCCAGCCCAGCCTGAACTGTGCATTAAGGAATCAGAAGATAAGCATGGTTGTGGAGATAGTTGATAAAGTGCTTGGTGATCTGAGTTAGATTCCCAAAAAGCCAGGAGTGGCAGTGTGTGTTTGTAATTCTACCCTGGAGAGGCCAAGATTGGTAAATCCCCTGGAGCTTGCTGGCTGCTAGCTAGCCAGTCTAGCCTAGCCTAACCTAGTTGGCTATTGCAGGGCCTCAGTGAGAGAGACCTTGTCTCAAAAAACAAGGTGTAGGATGCCTGAGCAGGAAGGGCATCCTAGATTGTACTCTGGCCTCTCCTCTTTCCCTCCTTCCTAGCAGCAGAGGCTGTAGCTCACTTGGTAGAGTGCTAACCTAGTATGGATGGATCCCTGGGTTTGATCTCCACATAAAGTAGACTTGGTGGTTTATACGTGTAATCTCAGCACTTGAGGGTGGAGCAGGAGGATCAGAAAGTCAAGGTTGTTTGTAGCTACATAGTGAGTTGCACAAGACCCTGTCTCAGTCTAAAACAAAACAAGAATTGGTGATGGTAGTTAGTGGTAGAGTACTTGCCTATCCTGTGAAGGCCCAAGGATCTGTCCCCAGTACTGCAAAAAGAAAACAGAAAAGGTCTTTTCAGTGGTTTTAGTCCTTGATAACTTACTAAGAATTCTGGTAAAATGCTTGCCATCAAACCTGATGACCTGAGTTCAATCCCTGGAACCTTTATAGTAGAAAGAGAGAACTGATTTTGAAAAGTTGTCTTCTGACCTGCATTTACATACTGTTGGACGTGTGCTTGCACGCACACGTACACGAAATAGTAAGGAAAAATTAGTGAAAATGAATTCTGTTTGGTTAGTTGTTTATCCATTCATTTATCCATCCATGTTGAGATTGAAACCCAGAATCATCTCATGTTGTAGTGTGATCCAGGCTGCTTTATAACACACTGTGTAGCCCAGGCTGCCCTGAAACTTATAGCAATCTTATTTCAGTTTCATAAGTGTTGGAATTATAGGCCTGAGCAACAATGCCTGCTTCCTAGCTTTTTATCTTTTCTTTTATGGTGCTTAAGGATTCAAGCCATCTTTACTTTATACACCACCAGGCATAGCCTGATTAGTATTTTGGAGTAGATTTATTTATTTAGGGTCTACTATACTATTTATTAAGCTTTATGCTAGGCTTTAGATGATGAAAAAAGTTTCCTGTTCTTAAAGGTATCAGCTTTTTCAGTAATATGAACATTTCAAGGAATGAGAAAACTTTACATGTTCTTTTAAACTCCTTTTGATGAATTATATCGTTGCATGTTTTAGGAATGTTGCAATTTAATGACCTCATTATATTTAATTTTGTTATGGTTCTGTGACAATCCAAGATACCAAAATCAATGTATAAACTCTTGCTATGCATTAATTGGATGATCTTTATAAAGGTAGTGTTTAAGTCTTCACTTGAGGCCGTGGATGAGCCTTAAGAGGTGGGCTTACAAGGGTAATAATTTAAATAAAACATTTAAAATTTAAATAGTTTAATAAAAGCATTCCTACTCAGTCATCATGGATAGCTGTCTTGTGTTCATGTTTTAGCAAAATTCAGACTACTTTATCTTATTAATTCTAATTTATTTATTGTGTGTATTTGCGTGTGTGTAAATTCTGTTTTTACCAAAATGTTACTTATTTCAGCTTGCTGTGGTGGCTTACATTTGTAGTCCTGGAACTGTGGAGGCTGAGGTAGTAATAGGATTGCTGCTAGCCTGGCCTATAAAGTAGTCCCAAAAAAAAGAAAGAAAAAGTTATCATAGCATACAAGATTAGGAATTTGCTTTTGTTGTCTTTCCAGCCTAATCTTCACTGTCTTCCATTTACTTTTAATATTTGAGCCATACCAAATTGCTGTAATTCTGAACAGCAAGCTATTGAATGTCCTGGTATATATGTTTTCACTGCTTTGGCTTCTAGAAACGTAGTAATAATTTTAATACGTTGAGTGCTCATTGTCACTGAACTAAAAGGCTTGCTTATACATTCTAAAAACAAATCTTGTAAGTACCATATAAGGAAAATTATATGGTTCCGAATTTGTGTATGGGGAAACAAATGAAATATATAACATATACAGAGTTATGTTTAGTTAATGATAGGGCTAGGTTTTTTTCTTAATTTTTGAGGCAGGATTTCTATACCACAGTCCAGGCTAGCCTTGAACTTGACATCTCCTTTCCTAGCTTTATGCTAGGATAAATAGATGTGTATAGATGTGTACTCCCATATCCAGCAAGAGTCAGGATTTGAATTCAGATCTTTGGGTTTTAAAATCTGTTTATATCGCTGTCTTCTTTTGGGGGTGGACAGAGTCTCTCTACATAGCCCTGTTTGTCCTGGAACTCAGTATGTAAACCAGGCTGGCCTTGAACTCAAGAGATCTGCCTGCCTCTGCCTCTCAATGCTGTGATTAAAGGTGTGTGCCACATTGCCCAGCTATGCACTTGATCTTAGCCAGTTTAGGAATGATAAGCCTATGTTTATAGTAATTATTTATTTGTTTTTGAGATTGGTTCTTGGCTATGTTGCCCAGGCTAGTCTTCAGCTTGTGGCTTCATTGATCATTCTGTATCAGCATCCCAAGTAGCTGAAAATATAAGTGTGCACCACACTATAACCCGTTTTGTGTTTTGTTTTGAGACCAGGGTGTCTATATTGAGTATAAAGTTGTCTTTATTCGGTGTAAATATATAATCAAAATAAAATGTATGTTTTATGTTAGGAGCCTCTTTTTTTTTTTTTTTTTTTGGCAATACTGGAGGTTAAAAACTAGAGCTACAGCCTTCAGCTTGCTAAGTAAATTGTTCGTTCTACACCTAACTCCTAGAATGTCCTTTAAAAAAATTATTTTTAGAAACATAGGTTCAGAGTGAGATAAGATAACAACTAGTTACTGATCATTAAAAGATTTTTTTTTTAAATCATTTTACCAGTCTTAAGCCATGTTAATATAATTGAAATTTTTTCGTTTTGTTTTTGTTTTTCAAGACAGGGTTTTTCCTTGTTACCCTGGCTGTCCTGGAACTTGCTTTGTAGACCAGGCTAGCCTCAAACTCAGAGATCAGCCTGCCTCTGCCTCCACAGTGCTAGTATTAAAAGCGAGTGCCACAACTGCCCACCTTAATTTAAAGTTTTGTTTCAATTTTTTTTTTACACCTTTATGAGATTGGAAGCAGAACGGTAGATAGAAAAAAGTAAAATAGTTTAAATATTTATATTAATTGAGGGTTAGAAAAAAATGGCTCAATGGCTAAGACTGTGTTATACCTGAGCCATCTATGTCAGGCAGGTCAACACCACCTAATTCTAATTCTAGGGATCTGGCAGCTTCTTTGTTTCTGGTTTCTGAGGACACCTGTGCTCATGTTAACATACGTACCCACAAGCACATACATATACAAGTAACTGAAAAGGAAAATAAATCTTAATACATTCCAAGAAACCTGTGCACCTTAAGTTTTAAAAATTCAATTAATTAACTTGATTTAATTAATTAGTATATTTTTAGATTGATTTTTGTTCATACCATTTATTAGTTTCAGCAAGGTATGCTGCTGGGTATGATGCATTCTTAGGCATGTTCCACTATATCCAGCAGTGGGTATATCTGACTTCCATTTTTTAGAGTCAGAGTAAATTAGAGAAAAGAGAAAAAATGTCTTATAATGGCCTAGTAATGTTATTATGTTTTTCAGTATTGGAGATTGAGCCCAGAACATTCTAGGCAAGTGTAAGACATGCACCCAACCCCTCTTCTTACTTTTTATTTATCTGTGTGTCTCTATGTCTTTCCTTCTGTGTGTGTGTCTGCATGTGGATTTCAGTGTAAAGATCTGAGGATAACTTGCAGAATTCAGTTGTCTTTTACATGTGGTCATATGGGTTCCCATGACCAAATTTGATTGTCAGGCTTGCCAGCAAATACTTTTACTCTTGGCCACTGGTCCACCCATCCATTTTTCTGTTGACTTAGGACAAGGGTCTTACTAAGTTGCCTGGGTAAACCTTGCACTTTGATCTTTTTGCCTCAGCTTCTTGAGAGCTAGGACTGTAGGTCTGCACTAGGAGACTAACTGTTTGTGTTTGTATCTGATTATTATTTTGTTATCTTGTTCTGTATACAACTTCCTAAGAGGTTATGTGCATATACTCCATAAAAATCACATGTATATATGCATTTTTATGCTCTTTGCTAGGAATGTTAAGATATAGTGCTCTCCAAGAAACCTATTTAATGTGTCTGCGTTATACCTGTCATCATGTTTGAAGATTAACAGAGAGGGCTGGAGAGATGGCTCAGAGGTTAAGAATACTGGCTGTTCTTCTGAAAGTCCTTAGTTCAATTCCCAGCAATCACATGGTGTGGCTCATAACCATCTTATCTTGTGATCTGGTGCCTTCTTCTGGTACGCAGGCACACATGCAGTACAGTATACTGTATAAATAATAAATAAATCTTAGAAAAAAAAAGATTAACAGAGAATGTTCCCTTAAAGTTCTGTTCCCATAGCTCATGTTTATATAATAATCTGGCTATATTTTAATTTCAAATAATATCAACTTAGAGTATAGTTATTGTAATAATTTACCATCAGTTTCATCATTATTCCATCTTTAATTCATAAACAGGTTGAATCATTTATTTTGGACCAAGAAGATTTGGATAACCCAGTCCTTAAAACATCAGAGATATTCTTATCAGGTCCAGCAGAAGGAGCAGACTTGCGCACAGTGGATCCAGAGACCCAGGCGAGACTGGAAGCATTGCTAGAAGCAGCGGGTACTCTCTCTCTTTATTTTTACAGCAGATCTCATAGGGAATGGTGGCGCACACCTTCAATTCTAGCACTTGGAAAGAGAGGCAGGTGCCTCTCTGTAGGACCAGACTGGTGTCCATGTATAGAGAGCCTGTCTCACAACAAAAAACGATAGATCTCTCTAAGGTGTCATACAAGGTTATCTCACTGATTTTTTTTTTTTAATTTCCTAAAAGTTCACATTCTATATTTTAAAAAATATTGTTTGAATACAATGAATAATTTTTTTGACTCATTTTTAAGGTAGTAAAGATGTCTAGTTAACAAGGAAAACATCAGGTGCATAAAAACATATCAGTTAAATGTAGTTTACCAAATTTTTTACTGTATTTGAATTGATTCAGGGAACTCTAAGTTGTTTATTTATTTTAATTGATGCTTACCTTACCTAAAAATAAAAAATAGCTATTTTTATTTTTAAATGAACACAAACTTAGACTAAAGTATATCAAGCTGTGCCAAACTACTGGTTTTGAAGTATCAGCAAAGAAAATCTGTGATAGGCCTTATGTGATAGCTCACACCGATGCTTGTCCTCTGGGCAGACGCATGTTGCCTAACAGTCTGGGCTACATAGTGATCCAAGTCAGCTGGAGCTACAGTATGAGACCCTGTTTAAAAAAACTGATTCGGGGGCTGGAGAGATGGCTCAGCAGTTAAGAGCACTGGCTGTTCTTCTAGAGGACCTGAGTGTAATTCTCAGCATTCACATGGTGACTCACAGACATACGTGAAACTAAAATATCTAAATATATGATAAAAATGCTTTCTCACTGGATGTTGTGGTATACACGTATGAGGGAAGCTGAGGCACAAAGATCGCGAGTTATAAGTTATGAACTATGTTAAAAAACACACACAATGTTTTCTCAAAATAATATATAGTTATTATTTTATAATGTATAGTCAGCTCATTATTTATTATACAATTTCAATTACACTGTAATTAAAGCCTTTTATCTTCTCTAAAATACAGAAATGTAGAGCAGGGTGTGGTAGCACAAGCCTATGATCCTATCACTTGGGAAACCGAGGCTAGAGGATTGCCTTAAATTCAAGACCATTTAGCCTCCATTGCAAGACTTTGTCTCAAAAACAAAACAGAGAAGGAAGTCTAGCCAACTGTTGGAGTGCAAGCTTACAATTCTGCACTTGGGACATAGAGGCAGAAAGATTACTACGGATCTGTGGCTGCTCTGCCTAGGCCTGTAAAGTGAAATTCTGTCATTTACTCTTTTTTTTTTTTCCCTTGACTATGTGTAGGTAGGTATGGAGGCTCATACCTGTACTTCCAGCACCTGGGAGGCTAAGGTGAAAGGATCAGGAGTTGAAAGCCAGCCTTGGTTATATATTGACCTATCTCAAAAATTTTTATTAAGAAATTAATAAAGATAAATAAATTTGATTATGTTTGGCTTTTTAAATTTGCCCATATGTATGTGTGTGGGTGCTTGTGTCACATCATGAGTTTGGAGGTCAAAGAATAACTTCCAGGAGTTAGTTTTCTCCTGTTACCCTGTGGGCCACTGAGGTTGAATTCAGGTCAGCAGGCTTGGCAGCAGGTGCTTTTACTCAGTGAGCCAGCATCTCATTTTCTCATATATTTTATTTTTAAAATGGTATGTAAATCCAGGCATGATAGCACATACTTTTAATTCCAGCACTCAGTAGGCAGTGGCAGGTGGATTTCCAAGTTTGAGAATAGCCTGAGCTACATATTGAGTTCCCTAGGTAGCAAGGACCACATAGAGAGAGACCCTGTTCCAAAAAAAAACACAGAGCAACACCAAAACCAAATAAATGAGTAACCAGGACTAGAGAAACCTTGCCTCAAAGAAAGAGAGAAAGAGAGAGAGCAAAAGAAAGAAAGCAAAATAAATAAGTAACCAGGACTAGCGAGACCATGCCTCAAATGAATGAATGAATGAGGGATGGCTACACATGAAGTGCCATACTTTTACCTTATATTATCTGTTAGCTGGCCTTGTGTTATATAAACCTGTAATCTTAGGAGTTGCTGTCAGAAGGATCAGGAGTTCAGAGCCAGCTTCAGTTGTATATTAACTTTGAGGCCAACCTAGACAATAAATAAAATAAATAAAGACTCTTAAAATGCTGAAAATCCCAAATAAAAAAATCTTAAAGCAAATAAATTAACTCAGCTTTCTAGTACTATTAACTAGGTGTGTGTTGAACACCTAATGATCTCTGTTCAGGAAACTCAAGGCAAGAGAATCAGAAGTTCAAGACCAGCTTGGGCTATGTTGCAAGTCCATACGTTTAAAAAAAACAAAACAAGATAAAGAGGTGTTGGATAGATGCCTGTATGGATAGAAGTGATTGCTATGCAAGCATGAGGATTTTAGTTTGGCTCTACAACCATGTAAAAAGTCAGGTGTGGCAGGCTTGTAACTCTGGTGCTCTGGGGGATCAGGCAGGAGGTTCCCTGGGGCCTGCTGTTATCACCCTAGCTCTTAGTTTAGTGGGCGACTGAGTTCAGGACTAAGGTAGAGCATTCTAGAGCAAGACATGTGGTATCTTCCTCTGGTCTACACAAAAGCATGTGCACCTACACATATGTGCATGCACTGTAGAGTATACACTGTACTTGCATGTACATACATACAAATAATAATAAAGATTGAAAGCCAAAACCTCAAACTATACTATTAAGTAGCGATTCAGAAAGCTTGTTAACAACCTTTTAACATATTTTATGTCAAAGGAAGGAAAACTTATTTTTCACCTCTGAATGACAAGCAAAAAGTTATTAAAGAAATTGTGGAGCCTGTCTATAAAATTACATAAATTCTTTGGATGTTGCATACTTTGGCTTTTCATTTATGCTGTTTGTCTGACTCAACTTAATTTAAAACATTACCCCAGACAATGTTAAGTGGGTATTTGACCAAAAGGGGGGAAAATGTTGGAGTATTTATTATGATAAATTATAGGGTCTCTCCTTCATTACTACTGAAAACAGAACGGACAAGATCCTATACTAGAGATTTTATTGATAATGGCAGTTTTTGAAGTAAAATATTACTCATTTGGCACAATAAGCATCATAGTAAATCAAATTCAGAATTAGATATAGGAAAAATTAATATGTATATTGTAAAGATGGAAATATTAAGACATGGGTGGTTATGCCATGGCTTTAACATTAGTGGTAGAACTGAAATCAACCTTATTTATCTGCTATCAGTTTTGTATATGGGGACTGTGTTTTTTCTTTGGCATATATAATGGTAATTAAAATAATTTCAGTCTTCACTTTTTGCTTTTTCTTTCCCTGCATTACCTCATTGATTAAGGAATTGGCAAATTGTCAACTGCGGATGGTAAAGCTTTTGCAGATCCTGAAGTGCTCCGGAGACTGACATCCTCAGTTAGCTGTGCACTGGACGAAGCTGCTGCTGCACTGACACGGATGAGAGCAGAGAACACACACAATACAGGACAAGTAGATACGTATGTGTTCATTACTTTGCTAGTATTTAAATGTTTTCTTGAAAAACATGAACCAAGTGGGTATTTGAAAGGATGTTATATTTTTAAGTGTATATATGAATGTGTACATACTATACAAATATAAAAAACTTTCTTTATTTTCAGATAGTCTACACATAGCTCTGACTGTCCTGGAACTCTCTATAGACTAGGCTAGCTTTGAATTTGGAGCTCTGCCTGCCTCTGCTTGCTAAGTGCCAAGTGCTGGGATTAAAGGGATGTGTGCCTCTGCATCCTCCTTTCCCTCCAAAAAAAAACTGCACTGCCCAGGAGATGTTAGCTTTGTTTTTTGAGACAGGGTCTCAGCTGGCTAGTCTGGAATGCTTTGCATATCTTGGAACATGCCAGATAGACAAGGCTGGACTCAACTCAACAGACATCTATCTACATGTTTATGCCTCCTGAGTCCTGGGATTAAAGAAATACGCCACCCTGCTGGGCACTGGACTTATTTTTGAGACAGGATCTCACTCTGAAGCCCAGGCAGCCCTTGTATTCTCAGCAGTTCTCCATCAGCTTCCTTGAGTGCTGGTGTTAAGTGTGAGTCATCCATCTTACCTGGCTTTACATTCACTCCCTAGTAAACATTTTTTGAGTGTTCGATATCACCATATATGAGAAAGTCCGCATTGAATAAGACCTAGTTTCTACTTCAAAATAAATTACAAAGTCTAAAAGTTTACAGTTAAGTCTAACCTGACTCTCTTGAGTAGTCATAAATGGAATGAATGGATTACTTACTCAATAATCTAGTTGCTGGTTGTTTAAATATGTCTCTGGAGTATGAGTATCACATCAGAGCTTATTTGAAGTGTATAGTCTTGGGCTGTGTGTGGTGGCATATGTCTGTAATATTTAGCACTTGGGAGGTAGAGGTAGGAGGATCAACAGTTTGATGCCAGCCATGGCTACATAATAAATTTGAAATCATCCTGAGCTGTATGAGAAAGCCTGTTTCAAAATAATTTGAAGTTTTAAAAAGAAGAAGAAACTTAAGACTGTAACCCAAATTCGCTGAATCAAATCTGCATTTTAACAGGCAATATGTGTAGACTCACGGATTTAAGTTAGCCATGCGGGCATAGCTGTAATCTCAGCACTTGTGCAACTAAAATGAGATGATTGATGTGAGTTCAAGGCCAAGCCCGGGCTACATAGTGAGTTGAGCACTGCCTAGACTACTATCTTAAAAGAAAGGAAAAATAAAAAATAAATTCATGGATTCAGTTAGGTATTTTACAGCATGATTTTTTGAACTAAAATAAGACTTTTGCCATAGAGTTATGTTTAAAAATAGCTTTTTTTTGTGAATCAGTGTGGTAGTAAAAGCTTGTATACCTAATACTTCAAAAATTTTTTTTACAAAAGAAAAAAATTGTTACCTTTGCAAAAGATCAGTTAGTCCAACTCATTTAGGAGGCAAGCAGATCTCTTGAGTTCAAGGACAGCCTAATTTTCATGAGTTCGAGGACGGCCAGGACATATAATGAGACCCTGTTGCAGAGTACCATGGACCAGTTAATTGGACTCTCCATGGGTGGCTTTTATATAGTCTGTTACAGCAGTGTCTGTTAGCACAAATAGAAGAGCCAAAAATGTGATGTCACCTTTCAATTACAAGACTTCTGGATTCACTTGTACATTATGATTACTCTAAGTTAATGCTTTGAGGAAAGCTAAGCTTTAGCCCATACCAGAAAACAGCAACAGAAAAAGATCCTTTGTACTACCTTATTTATAGTTTAAATCATTTTTTAACACTTAAAGCTAAAAAAAAACCAAAACTCTAAACAGGCTAGCACTGTAATTTTATGTATGACTGCATTATTTTTTAAAATATTTTATTTGTGAGAATACTTGCTGCATGAGTATATCTGCATCATTTGTATGCCTGGTGCTTGTGGAGGTCAGAAGAGTACCAGGTCCTTACAGATGGTTATAAACTCGTGCTTGGAAGTGAACCTAGGTCTTCTGCACAAGGCAGCAAGTTCTCTTAACTGCTGAGTCATCTCCCTTTTTTTTTTTTGAGACAGGGTTTGTCTGTGTAGCCTTGGCTGTCCTGGACTTGAGCTCATAGAGATCTGCCTGCCTCTGCCTCCTGAGTGCTGGGACCGCCCAGCTCAAAATCTTAAATTGCTAAAATGGCACAGTGATGCATGACTTTAGTTCCAGTACTTGGGAAGCCAAGGCAGGTGGATCTCTGAGTTTAAAGCTAGCCTGGTCTAGATGGTGAGTTCTATGGGCTATGTAGAAAGATTCTGTCGTGGTTTTTTTGTTTGTTTTGATTCTGTCTTTTAAAAAATATTGTTCAAATATTCTTTCTAAGACCTTAAGTATTATTGTATTTAAAAAAGAATATTCATGTTTCCTTAACTTGAGCTTACAAAGACTGAAGGCCATTGCGGGTTGGAACTTGGGTTGTCAGGCTTGGCAGCATTTGCCTTTACCAACCCAGTCATCTTGCTGGCCTTGAGTCACTTTGTGCCTAGCTGGGTATGGTCAAATGTGAGTACAATCCCAGTGTTATATAGAGTCTGGGGACTTTCGGACTACATTAGGCCTGTATCATCCAACAAACACAAGCTTCTTTAATTCTAGACTCTAAAACCCAAGAGTGATTCTGGACGTTGCCTTTGGGTCTGTAAGCTTTGAGGATTGCTATTTTATGAAGTCAACTTCAGATATAAAAACAGTTTACCAGAAAGATTATAAAAAATAAAATAGCAGTTGTTGGAACAGTGGTTGGAAAAGCAGTGTAGGAAGAGAATCAACTGAAATAAAGTGTGTATGAAAATCTGGTAATGAAACCCATAGTGTGTATGCTTTTTAAAAAAATAAAAGTAGGGCAGGAGAGATGGTTCAGAAGAGATGCTGCTCTTAAAAAGGACCTGGGCTTGGTTCCCAGAACTCACGTGGTGGCTAACAATTGTTAGCCTATAAAAATATACCTAAAAATATACCTATAATAATAAAAAAATGTGAGCTGTTTTCAAATTCATATTTTTGCCTAGTTGAACTTTGTATATAATTACAGTTACAAACAGGATGTTTGGCATATAAAATATTCATGCCAGTTTATCTTCGTGCATTTTTTATATGTGTCTAACTAATGTAATTTCATATCATCAGTCAATTTTGTGTAATGTTTGATTTTAGTCGCAGTCTGGCAGAAGCTTGTTCAGATGGAGATGTGAATGCTGTTCGTAAATTGCTAGATGAAGGCAGAAGTGTAAATGAACATACAGAAGAAGGAGAAAGCCTGCTGTGTTTGGCTTGCTCAGCAGGATATTATGAACTAGCACAAGTAAGCAGAAATAATCTCTATTCATTTTAGTAGTGCTGGGGAATCATCAAATCCAGGGCCTGTGTGTGCTTCTTTACTCCTGAGCTACACCCCCAGCCCAAAGTGATCTTTAGTGTTTAAAACAGAGGGGCTTGGGTGTCTCAGTTATTTCTATTACTGGTAAAGGGGCTATAAGTGGAAGCTGTGACCCTCCCTTCCTTTTCCCTTTTAGAAACATACAAAATTCGTTTTTTTTGTACACATAGCTAGGCACAGTTTATTGTTTTATCATATATTCAAAACTAATTAATCATACTGAATAAGAATCATTTAATAATCATATTTTAAGCTGTTCTTGAAATTTTTGTGTACATACGTTCTGTTTGACTACCCTCCACTTTATTAACTGAGATAAGGATCTCTTGCTCTGGCAAGCCTGGAGTTCACCAGTTTGCTGCTCAAGCTAGTCAGCTTTCTTTGGGGATCTTTTCTCAAATGCTGGGAACTCCAACCCTCAAATTTTCATGATAAATCCTATCTACTGAGCCATATCCTCAGTTCTAAACTTGTCTTTTAAATATAGTGTTTAAGCTGGACAGTGTTGGCGTATGCCTTTAATCCCATCACTCGGGAGGCAGAGACAGGTGGGTCCCTTACGTTTGAGGCTAGCCTGGTCTACAGAGTGATTTCTAAGGCAGCCAGGGCCACACAGAGAAACCCTATTTCAAGAAGAAAAGAAATGGTACATAATGGGGATTTCAGAGATGACTTAGTTGTTAAGAGCACTGGCTGCTCTTCAAGAGGACCCAAATTTGGTTTCCAGTACCCACATAGCGACTCACAATCATTTGTAACTCTAGTTCCAGAGGATCTGGTGACTTATGGCCTGTGTAAGCACCAGACATACAGGCAAGCAAAGCACTCATACACACACAAAAAAAAATTTTTTTTTTCTTTGAGACAGGTGTCTCTGTAGCCTTGGTTGTCCTGGATTAGCTTTATGGACCAGGCTGGCCTTGAACTCACAGAGATCCACCAGCCTCTGCCTCCCAGAGTTCTGGTACTACAGGTGTGCACCACCACTCATGGCCACACAAAATAATTTTAAAGAAGAAAATAAAATAGATAACTGGTCAGGTGAGATAGCTCAGCAGGTAAGGTTACCCACAGCCAAGGCCAGGGACCTGAGTTTGAGTTTGATTACTGAGGCCTACCTAGTGAAAGTAGATGGCTCCAACTCCCACAAGTTGTCCTCTGATCCATATGTGTGTCATGATCCTTGTGTAACCCCTCACACACACAGAATTAACAAAATGTAATTAAAAGAGGGGACAACTTATAACTAAGGTGGTGGTGACCATCTGTAATTCTAGCACTTGGAAGACTGGGGCAAGCAAATAACAAGTTCAAGGTCAGGCTGGCCGATAGGGAGTCCCTGTCTCTAAAAAAACAAATAAAAATAAAAGCATAAGGGAAAGTAGAAGTTTATTTCTACTCCATTTAGATTACCCAAGTTCTAATATTTTTTTCCTATATTGAGCAATATTGGGAACTTTAACCATTTTTGTTTTCTCTTGCTAGATAATCTCAAACATGACACAAATTCTTTCACAAGAGCGGACATATGTAATAGGATGGCTAATAAAATCTTTATTTAAAGATTAACATGTAATAGTTAGAAATTGTGGTGCATGCCTATAATCATTTGGGTTGTGGAGATAGGAGAATCTGGGATGCAAAGTTTTCCTTGGTTGCCTAGTTAGTTTGAGACCAGCCCCAGATGCATGGTATTGTAAAAATATGTCATCTGATCTGTCACCTGATCAGTAAAAAATTGGATTTTCCTAAAAGGTGATTATTTTTACTTATTTTTTCATCCTTTCTCAAAAGTTTATCTTCTCAGATTATTTTCTCTGTAAGAACTATTAGCAGTAAGCAGTAACAACTGTCTCTTTTTAAAGGTACTGCTAGCTATGCATGCTAATGTTGAAGATCGAGGGAATAAAGGAGATATAACTCCTCTGATGGCAGCTTCCAGTGGAGGTTATTTAGATATTGTGAAATTATTACTTCTTCATGATGCAGATGTCAACTCCCAGTCAGCAACAGGTATGTATAAATTGATATGAAGCAAAAATAGGCATAATTTTTATAACATCATAAATAAAAATTTGATTATGGGAGTATTAGTGAGATGGCACAGTGGGTAAGGCACTTACTGAGTTTAATTCTCAGGATCCACGTGACAGGAGAGAACCAGCTCTTACAGTTATCTCTGCTTCCAATCACAGGCCATGTAGATACATCCCACCTCGTGCACACACAAAACAAATAAACGTACCTTTAAAAAATTAGGTTACTGGGGAAAATGAATGCAACCATCTGAAAATAACCTTGACTTTGATATCTTTAAAAGTCTTGGTTGTAGTTGTTGTTTAGTTATGGTCTCAACCGGTAGACCAGGATGGCACTTGTGCTAAAAATTCTCTTTTATCAGCCTCCCGAATGTTGGGAGTATAGCATGCACCACCAAGCCTGCTGAAAACTCTTTAAGCCAGTGTGCAGCCTTTCTGAATGCCTAGCACTTAGTAGGCTGAAGTAGGTGGCTTCTTGAGTTTAAGGATAGTAAAATCCTGTGTCCAACGACAGCAAATCTGTAACATGAACTTGGACCACACATAGTGACATTTGCCTATAATCTTAGCATTTAGGAGCCTGAGGCAGGAGGATTGCTGTGTATTTAAAACATACCTTGGATTCATAAGGAATTCCAGGATAGTTCTAGTCTACATAATAAGACTATATGAAAAACAGTGTAGGTTTTATTTGGTCAAGATGAACAGTTTTTCTGCTACAATTTTTTTTTTTGTCCTAGTGATATAGCTTATAACTTTTTCTTTATGCATTATATGTCTCCTGTTTGTTTGCTTGTTTGTTTTTAGTTTTTTGAGACAGGGTTTCTCTTTGTAGCTGGACTTGATTGTAGACCAGGCTGGCCTCGAACTCAGTGATCTACCTGCCTCTGCCTCATTGAGTCCTAGACAGTTAAAATGCATAGCATTTTGTATTGGGATTTGAAGAAATTCTGTCAGAAAATAAAGATATGCTTTAGCACTGAAGTGATGGCCCAGTGGTTAAGAGTACTGACTTCTTCCAGAGGGCCGGGGTTTAATTCTCAGCACCCACATGGCAGCTTACTACTGTTAGTAACTCATGTTCCAGGGGATCTCACACTCTCACACAGACGTACATGCAATCGAAATACCAATGTACAGAAAGTAAAAAAAAAAAAAAAAAAAAAAGATATGACAGTTTAAAAAAAATACTGAGCTGAGGATGGTTTTTCCACTTGTACTTCCAGCTACACATGAAGTTGGGGCAAGAGAATTGTGAATTCCAGACTAATGTGGGCTGTGTGGAAAGAATGCAGGGATGGGGGTGGAAAGAGAACATGTTTGTCTAGCACGTGTGAGACCCTGGGTTGAATCTTTAGCACATACAAAAAACAAGAAACAAACATAACTTGAGATAGAGTTGTGGTTTATGCTAAGAAATTGGAGAGAGATAAGTAGAACAGTAGCCTGAAATCGATTGTCTCATAATTTTGTATTTTTCTTATTCTTTGATAGGAAACACTGCATTAACTTATGCTTGTGCTGGAGGATTTATTGACATTGTAAAAGTACTTCTTAATGAGGGTGCAAATATAGAAGACCATAATGAAAATGGACATACTCCCCTAATGGAAGCAGCCAGTGCAGGTCATGTGGAAGTTGCCAGAGTTCTTCTAGAACATGGTGCAGGCATCAACACTCATTCTAATGAGTTCAAAGAAAGTGCTCTGACGCTTGCCTGCTACAAAGGTACTTTTCATACTGGAATATTTGTAATTGTTTTTATAGCCACCTCAAGTATTTAAGTATTGCGATTTGAGTTAAATGTACATTCCTTCTTTACCTGAGTATTTGAATTAACTTCACATTGTTTTTTTTTTTTTTAATGGTATCAACTTTTCTTACGGTATAAAGCCCATTTTAATCTGTATTTAGTGTACTATCCCAATATGTATTTTTTTTAGTTCATTTAACTTTGATGTCAACCAAACAACTTAAAAATTTAAGGATTTTCATTATTTAATACTTTTTGTTCTATATGATTTTTCCTTTAAAGAGTTATACACAGATCTACTGATAGACAGTTGATATAGAAAACCTGAAAAATAAGATGTACCACAAAGAAAAATTTAGATGACCTGTAATAGTCCATCTAAAGGTGAAAAAGCATGTAAACAGTATGTCCAGTGTATTTTTAAATAAGTTTTAAAAAAATACATATATGTAAATAAAATGATTTACCAGTTTTATAGTATGTTTATTTAGAGATGTCATGAATATATACTCATATCAATAAATGTTCTTGTAACACAATTTTTGGTTATCACATAGTATTTCAGTTAGATTTTCTAGATTGGTTTGCCTGCATGTACCACAAAATACAATGCTTTGTACAGAAGAGAAACCCAGAAGTAAGCTTACTTGTGCTAGTATTGCAATTTAATTTTGTCATCAAGATCCAGGAGTGTTATTTTTCTGTTGTACATCCTAGTATGTGGTTTCTGTCCTGAATGTTACGTGTAGTCCAGAAGGCAGTTAAAGCCAAGTAGTCCATATTTTAGGATGAAGAGGGTAAGAACAAAGCGGTAACTGCCTTCCAATTAAAGTTCCTTTTAAGAAGTCCTTGTAGAAGCTTTGCTTTGTACCTCTCACTGCATTTTACTGGCTTCTCTCTGCTACAAGGAAGGCAGGAAGATAGTCTTAAGAGTTAGGTATATTGTCACCTAGATAAAATTTAAGTCCTGTTTTTCAAGAATACTAACAATTGATGTTAAGTAGGGAACTCAAAATCTGTGCCAAATACATGAAGTGGATACACCATAATTTCCTTTTGTTCCCAGGTTTTTTTTTTTTTTTTTTTAAACTACAACTTAAAAACACTGTGATAGCATCCTTGTGCAGACATTTTTGCCTAATCCTCTGATTATTTCCTTAGGATAAATTCTAGAAGTGGAATTGGTGGGTCAAAGGATATGGACATTTTAAAGGCTTTTGATAACGTGTTTCCAAACTGCCTTCTAGAAAGGTTGAACCTAATGTGTCTTAGACCACATTAGGTGTCTGAGAACCCCTTTACCCACCTTACACCCTCTCCAGTACTGGACATTATCAATCTCTTTACTCTTTGCCATCTTGGTAGCTAAAATAATCGTGTCTCATTTAATATCTCCTCTTATCAGTTTAATATCCATTTATATATCTTGAATTACCATTTTATATCCTCCACCTATTTTTACACTGTAATGTTGGTATTTTTTATTGACTATTAAGTTTTTTTTAATTAAATGTATCAAGAAGATTGGAATTATTCTTAAATGGAATTGTTTTTGTTTGTCTGCTCATTGACACAGTGAGGTTATGGTGATTTAAAGCTGTATTTCTATAAAATATGCTCTAATATACTTTACCTGACTTTTTGTTTGGTTCCAGTATTTTGTTAGTTTACATAAATTAAAACTGAGAACAAACATGAAACATAGCTAGAAATACATGCTTTAGAAAATCAGTCTTTAAAACTTAGATAGTATGACCTTATTGAAAGTGCACCTATTTAATTGTCTTTAGTTGGCTTTGTAAAACTGTCATTGGTTAAAATTAAAAATAAAACTTTATAAATTGTATATAGACATTTGAAAATAAAACTCAATTCAATACTCATATATTTAATTTAAAATTTTTAACCTTATTTTTAAGGCCATTTGGATATGGTTCGATTTCTGCTTGAAGCTGGTGCAGATCAAGAGCACAAAACTGATGAGATGCACACTGCCTTAATGGAGGCTTGCATGGTAATTTAATTATGCTCACTTGAAATCTTGTGGGAAAAAATTCATATTTATCTGAAAATTATTATTGTTGTTACTGTTGTGTTTGTCTGTGTTCTTGTTGTTGTGTGGGCCTATGTTCTTGTGTGTGTGCAGGTACATATGCCCTTAGAAGCCCAGAGAACAGATAACTGGGTGTTGTTCCTCTGTAGACTGCATCCAGTCTTGTTGAGGCAGGATCTCTCACTGGCCTGAAACCCCATTATTGTGTACTAACATACCTAGGTTGTTTTTTTTGTTTTTTTTTTTTTTTTCAATTGTGGTTTCTGGTGATCAGTGTTATGCCCTCAGGCTCAAAGGCAATCACTTTAACTAATCCCAATCTCTAGCTAATGTTTGGCTTGTATTTTTAACCAAATTCTAAATAAAAAACAGGTAATGCTTTAATATGTGGACTTTTAGAGGATTAAAGCAATTTGTAATCCCAGTGTAATGTTTTTAGTTTTAAAATTAATATTTCATTTATTTTTTACATTAATTTTCTCTTTTTTTTTTTATTTTGTAAGTATTATGGGTATATTTCCTGCATATATGTCTTTGCGCCATGTGTGTACAGTGCCCATGTAGTTCAATTAAGGGTGTCAGATCCCCTGGAACTGGAGTTACAGGCAGTTAAACTCACTGTGTGGGTCTTGAGAATTAAGCCTAGAACCTTTGGAAGAACAACCAGTTCTCTTAACTGCCAAGCCACTGCCCCAGCTCCAAATATATTATTAATAAAATTTAATTTTTGCGATGTTGGACATATTTCCAACATGTTTAGCTCTGTTGTTTTGTTCTCTTATTGGTCTCACTCTAGCCCACATTGGTCTGCAATTCACTATATAGCCAAAGCTAGCTTGCTGTGATTCCCTCCTGTCTTAGCTTCTTGAGTGCTGGGATGACAGGTTGTGAGCTACCATGCCCTTCTCTCTACATTTTTATAGCTTCTATAAAAATTCAGTGAGTTGTTTCAGTGGGTAAAAACTGGACACACAAACTGAATGACCTAAATTGGATTCCCAAAATCCATGATGGAAGGTTCTATTGTGAACCATGTTCCATTCCTTAGCTCATTCATTTATTGACTGGATAAATTGTGTGGCAAATGCTGCCAAGCCTGACAGCCTGAGTTCCAATCCTCGCTGGCCTTCAGTCTTTATAAGCTCAAGTTAAGGAAACATGAATATTCTTTTTTTTTTAATGTTTATTTTATTTATTATGTATACAGTGTTCTGCCCGCACATGCCATCAGAGGGCACCAGATCTCATTATAGATGGTTGTGAGCCACCATGTGGTTGCTGGGGATTGAACTCGGGACCTCTGGAAGAACAACTGGTGCCCTTAACCTCTGAGCCATCTCTCCAGCCCCGAATATTCTTTTTTAAATACAATAATACTTAAGGTCTTAGAAATAATATTTAAACAATATTTTTTAAAAGACAGAATCAAAACAAACAAACAAACAACAACCAAAAAAACATGACAGAAGCTTTCTACATAGCCCATAGAACTCACTATGTAGACCAGGCTAGCCTTGAACTCAAGAGATCCACCTGCCTCGGCTTCCCAAGTGCTGAAACTAAAGTCATGCATCACTGCCATTTTAGCAGTTTAAGAACTTGATATGTAGACCAGGCTGGCCTCAAACTTACAGAGCCTCATTTTCCTCTGCCTCTCAAGTGTTAGGATTAATTTTTTAGTTTTTAAGATTGACGTTTTAATATGAAGTTCCCTAGTTTTGGCATTTGTGTCAAAAGTGATTAAAATTTGGCCAAGGGTCATGAGATAGCTCAGCAGGTAATGGTGCTTACTATAAAGCCTGATATCCTGAGTTTAACCCACATGGTGAAAACAGAATCATTTCCTACAATTTGTCCTCTGACCTGCACAAACATTCTTATTTTCTCTATATATCCCACCAAGTCCTTCTCCCTGTCTTCCCCCTGTCTCTCAGTACAAAATAAATTAAAATATAATAAAAATTAAAAGAAATTACACACACATATATATGAATTAAATCTTAAATGTTGAATTTCAGTATTTATTTCTTCTAATATGTGTGTCCATGGTTTTGAACTCAGGCTTTTAGTGGTGTATGCCTGTGTGTGGTGTGCTTATAAACAAGTATTAAAGCCAATATAAAGTGTGAAGTCAAGAATTTAAAACCGGCCAGGCAGTGGTTGCTCATGCCTTTGATCCCAGCACTTGAGAGGCAGAGGCAGCAGATCTCTGAGTTTGATGGCAGCCTGGTCTAAACTTAGTTTCAGGACAGCCAAGGCTATACAGAGAAACTGTCTCGAAAAAAACAAAACTAAAACTGAGGACTGAGGGTCTGGAGAGATGGCTCAGAGGTGAAGAGTGTGTCTGTGTGTCTTAGTCACTGTTCTATTACTGTAAAGAGATAGAACCAAGTTCTATTACTGTAAAGAGATAGATGAAAGAAAGTTTTCAGTTGGGGGCTTGTGTATAGTTTCAGCATACATGGCACTAGGCCACTAGTGTAGTAGCTTAGAGCTACGTCCTGGCCCAAAGGCAGCAGGCAGAGAGAATCTGGGCCTGCTGTGGGCTTTTGAAACCTCAGAGCCCACCCCCAGTGACACACCTCCTCCAACAAAGCTGTACCTCCTAATGCTACTCAAACATTCCACCACTAAGAACTAGGCCTTTAAATAGATGAGTCTATGGGGACCAGTCTCATTCAAACAACCAGAGTCTTAGTGCTCATGCATATTCTAAGTCCAGATTCTAGCACCTATGTGGTGGCTCACAACTGCCTGTAACTCTAGCCCTGACGGATCCAGTGCCCTTTGTTCTCTTGGCATGTGGTGTCCGTAAACTCACAGGTACACAAATATACACATAAACAAAAATCTTTAAAACAAACAAAAAATGTGCAAACTAGAGTGGAGCTCAGTGGTTAAAATATGGGCTTAGCATTTGTAAGACCCTGATGAATAACTTGTCCATAAATAAAAATGTTTATTTTACGTATTTAAAATATTCTTTCCTTGGTGCAACAAGTCAATGAGGCAAAGACAGAGCAGCATGAATCCATAGGGACTTCGCTAAGTGACATAATCCCAAGTGGTAATGATTTCACAGTTCATAATGTTTTTGTTTTGTTTTTCTTTCTTTGTCAAGCTTTTATTTCTAAGGAAGATCTAATACAGTTCCTACATTTGAAAATAAAAATCCTCTAAATTTGAGTAAATAGTTTTATTTGATCTGACAGGTGTATGAACAATAATTCTTTTTGAGGTGCTATTAACAGGAATTTGTTAGCTTTTTTTTTTAATTTCAAACAATATAAAAATTCAAAATTATTTGGAATTGTGATTATTTGTTACTAGTTCAGATTTGTTTTAGAGAATTTTTCACCTTGTGAAAATTAAGGTAATGTAAGCATTAATTTATGTGCATTGGTGTTTTGCCTTTGTATGTTTGTGTGAGAGTGTTGGTGCCCTTGGAACTGGAGTTACAGGTAGTTGTGAGCTGCCATTTGGGTGAGAGGGATTGAATCTGGGTCCTCTGGAAGAGCAGTCAGTGCTCTTAACCACTGAGCCATCTCTTCAGCCCCTTAAACATTTAAAAAATAGTATTTGTGGGTGTTAGGTAAGGCTCAGGTGGCATGATGATAATGTATGATATCTAAGCTACATTAGCTTTCTTTAGTCCCTTGTTTGCCTCTAAAATCTCTCAAATCGTTTCTTTGTTTTACCCCTGAACATCTGCAGGATGGCCATGTAGAGGTAGCACGTTTGCTTTTGGACAGTGGTGCTCAAGTAAATATGCCTGCGGATTCCTTTGAGTCTCCGTTGACTCTAGCCGCCTGTGGTGGACATGTTGAATTGGCAGCACTGCTTATTGAAAGAGGAGCAAATCTTGAAGAAGTTAATGACGAAGGATATACACCCTTGATGGAGGCTGCTCGAGAAGGGCATGAGGAGATGGTGGCACTGCTGTTGGCACAAGGTAATGCACCTCCTTGGGTGTTTTGGATTTCAGCTGAAGTAGATACTGTTTTTGCACTGATGAGAAAATAAATTTTCTGTAGCCTAGGCAAGCTTTGGACTTTGAATCTTACAAAATTCTCGATACTTTAGAAGGCTGAGCCTAAGTAGAGATGGTAGATGATTGTTAGCTTATTTGAAAACTGTATTATAATTCTCTCACAGCTAGTTCTGTCTTTTGTTGTGCTTTTAGGTGCAAATATAAATGCCCAGACAGAAGAAACCCAAGAGACTGCTCTTACGTTGGCTTGCTGTGGAGGCTTCTCTGAGGTTGCAGATTTCCTGATTAAGGCTGGGGCTGACATAGAACTCGGCTGCTCCACACCTCTCATGGAGGCGTCTCAGGAGGGACACCTGGAGTTGGTTAAATATTTGCTGGCTGCTGGTATGTGGCTTTGAAAATGTCTTCATCACAGAAAGAAGAATACAAACAATACTTTATATGTCTCAAATCTAAAAACATTGAATTAAGAAATAGAGACTACAGTGGTGGCTATCAGTCTAGGAATAGTGTAAGGGGATGAAGAATATACAGCAAAAAGGGGAATTTTGGCGGAGAGTGCCAAGGTTCAGTGACTTACCTTCTGCATAGAATGGTAATCCTGCTTAAGAATAATGGAATGTTTTATTAGTGTTTAAAGTTTTTATTTAGAAAGAGAGAGAGTATGAGGATCTGAGTACAGGCATGCCTGTGCCACAGCACACATGTGAGAGGACAACCTTGACTTGATTCTGTCTTTCCAATATGAATTTCAGGAGTCAGACTCAGGTCATCAGGCTTGCTAAGCCATCTTTTCATCTCCTAATTCAAAATTTCTAATATGAGCAGACCATGGATGTTTTTATCACCAAGGCATAATATATATTAATTAATGTATCTGATTATTTTAGTGTTCATAATATAACACTGAACCCCATAAATGTATATAAGTATTGTCTGTCTATTAAAAATAAAATTAGGGTTAAGGATGTAGCTCAGGATTAGAGGCCTGCTTAATATGCATTAAGCTCTGGCTTTGTTAGCTTGCCATGCATCTCTAGTCTCAGGTACTGGGGAAGCTAAGGATGGAAGATCACCTGAGCACAGCAGTGTGAGGCCAGCCTGAGCAGTATTGCAAGGCCTTGTCTTTAACGGACTTCTTACTATTGTTACTATTTGCTTAGTGTTTGCTTATAAACTCTCCATTCTCTTCTTTTGGAAGAAAATTCTTCGTGCTTAGTCTTTGTTGATGAGAGGAGATGGCTATGGCATGATACATTAAGTCTGTTTATTTCTTGACTTTTCTAAGTTGCCTCAAAAAGGGGTCGGGGAGAGAGGACCCTACTGGTTAAAGCACTTGCCATGCAAGCATGAGGGTCATTCCCAGCAGCTACGTAAAAGCCAGGTGGGCCGGATGGCCACCATGTAAGCCCAGGGACAGGGAAATGGACAGGGAATCTGCAGAGCAAGCTGGCCAGCTGGACTATGGCAAGCTGCAGATTTAAAGACTCTACCTCAGTGTATAAGATAGAGTATCATTAAGGAAGAAAACTGATGCCACCCTTTGGCCTTTACAAATATGTTCTACACATAGAACACGTAGATACATAGACACATAGACACATATACCACAGTCATACATGACCCCAAAAAGTGAGAAATAGGTTATTGGAAAAGTGCTTGTTTCAAATATTTGTGCTTTATTCTTTGTTAAGTAATATCAATCAATAAGTATATTTTTTTTAGAATATCTGTTGTCTGTAGTATATGCCAGAAAAAAGTTGATAAAAAGACAAATTTTGTCTTTTAAATGTTATATTGAGTTTCTTATTTTATCCAGGTCTGATACATTGTTTTATTTTTTGTTTGTTTTGTTTTTGAGACAGGGTTTCTCTGTGTGGTTCTGGCTATCCTGGAACTTACTCTGTAGATCAGGCTGCCCTTACAGAGGCCACTTAGCTAGAATTTCAGTTCACAGAGATCCACCTGCTTCTGCTTCCCAACACTGGGATTAAAGGGGTCTCCTACCACTGCCCAGCTCTGATACATTATTTTAAAGCTGAATTCTAAAATGGTGGCACATGCCTGTAGTCTCTGCATTGGAGAAGCAGATGAAGGAGGATCTAGCCTGGTCTATAAATTGAGTTCTAGGCCACATAGTGAAATCTGTCTCAAAACAAAACAAAACAAAACAAAACAAACAAAAAAAAAGAACTTTATATAGGTGGAAGCAGGAGGATCAGGAGTTCAAGACCATCCTTGTCCACAGAAGAGCGTATCTGAGCTACATGAGATTATGTATCTACAAACTAAACCTAAAACAAAAGAACTTCTGAATACTAGATATTTTACTTAGCTTTTATATTATCTTTATTAATTGCCTCTAGCAATTGTGTTATTAAAAATAATAGCTGGGTGTGGTGGTGCATGCCTTTAATCTGAGCACTCAGGAGGCAGAGGTAGGGTGGATCTTTGATTTCAAAGCCAGCCTGGTCTACACAGCAAGTTGCAGACCCTGTGTAAAACAGTGAGACCCTGTGTGAAAAAGAAAGGAAAAAGATATTAAACTCATTCTGTTTGTTCTCTTTTGAGTCTGGGACTCTGTAATATATTCCTCTTAACTCTTAACTCAGCCTTCTGGGGAAGATACCTGGCTTATACAAAATTTTTTTTTTAATTTTGAAACTAAGTGATGCACAGTTGCTACATAATCTCACCAAACTAACCTAACTAGCATTCAGTAATTAAACCTAGAGCCCCTGACATCACTTTCTGTTGTGTCTCAGTTGATTTATCATATTTGGCTCCTGCTATTGACTTGAAAGGTAAAGTTTCCAGAGTTTTCAGATTAGAATGATGACCCCCCCAACCTCAACCAATCCTTTTCTTTTTTTGGCTTTGGTTTGAGTGTGTTTTATTTTTTGTGACAGGAGGCTAGTCCTGACTTTAAACTCCTGTTGCTCTTGCTTTCGCATCTCAAGTTGGGGTCACAGGTATGCCCTGTCATGCTCAACTTGTTATCCACCCAGTTTTAATTCATGGCCAATCTTATTTCATGTATATACTTCCCACTTCCCTCGTTTTAAAATAATTTTTATTTAAAATAAACATTTATACTTTTAATTTTATGACATACTTATTAAGTTTTATGTACTGGGCGAGTTTGTGCATTCCTTTAATCCCAGCATTTGGGCAGAGTTAGTAGGATCTCTGAGTTCAAGGCCAGCCTGGTCTACAGAGCAAGTTCCAGGACAGCCAGGGCTACATAAAGAAACCCTTTCTCAAAACAACAGCAACAACAACAACAAACAGGGTCACTGAGTTGCCCTGGCTGGCTTCAACTAGACGGGCCTCCAGCTCAGAGATCCTCCTCCATTGTGCTGGGATTGAAGGTGTGTACTACCATGATTGGCATGCATAAATTTTTTTAATTTGCAGGTTCTTTGTTTCCTTTTTTTTTTTTTTTCTTGAGAATTTTTTCTTGATGTTGAACATAAAGTGAGTTTATTCTTTAGGCTTTTATACATTTTGCTGATTGTCTGTGATTATACTTGACATTATTTTCCTTTTCCTTATATTTTCATGAATTAATGGTTAATTCTAGAGGGAGGCTCAGTTGTGTTCAGGTAGAATTTTTGAAGATAGAAAGACCTAATCAGCAATATTTCTATAACTTCTTCAGTGGGTATCTATCTGTCTTTTTAGTATCTGTTTTTCTCTCCTTTTTTATAGTGTCAGTCATTAGCTTTATCACAGTTTAGGTCCCTTAGATTATAAGATTATGAGAAGTTGCAAAGTAGAGGTATCCTAGAATTCTGTTACTCCATTCTTGTTCATTAGCTGGGACTATCTATAAAAAGAAATCTACCCTTAATCAAAATTTGATAAGAATTCATGTAGAAATTGTAGGATAAAGTTTGCCTTGACTTTCCTCCTCTTTTTTTTATCCATTTCTAAAAATGATAAGATGATCCTATAGTATTCTTAAAAAGTAGCCAGTGTAATGGGAGAGAGAGGAGTGTTTTATTGTTTAGTGTTTTTTAAAATTACTGCTTTGTATGCATATTTGTGTGTGTGTGTGTGTGTGTGTGTGTGTGTGTGTGTGTTCAAAAATGCACATGAGTACATGGTCACAGGTATTCCTCAGTGTCTGTGGAAGGCAGAACAATTTCATGAAGTCAGCTTTTTTCTTCCTCCTACTTTTCTGTGGGTTCCACAGAAACACATGTTGTCAGGCTGGGGTAGCATTGCAGAGCTATGTTACCAGCCTTTATTTTTAAGGTCCTTTGGGCTCCATGACTTTTTAGTTGGTCAGGATTAGGAAGTATATATTTTTATTTATTTATTTATTTCTTAACATATTTTTCTTAAACATTTAAAAGAAGTGTCAAATTCATGTTTTACTGCCAATTTATAACTATGAGGTTTTCATTTAACTTAAATAATTATTGTGTTTCTTTTAACAAGAAAAATTTCCATTTTTACTAATGATTATTCACTTGATTTGGACCATAATATTCATAGAACTGTTTCAGGATACAGATCAACATTAATATCAATATGAATATTCATTGTTTAAATTTTTTGGTTTTGTATATTATTTAAGGTATATTTTATCAGATATACAGGCAGATTCTCTGCTTTAAAATCATTTGGCTTATTGTTTTGTTGTAAGGCAAAACATGTTTTTGTGAAGTTTAGTTAAAGGAAATAAGAGAAAACAGAAAGGGAAATATAAATACCTAACTATATTTTAATGTTGTCTTCACATTTTTAATTCTTCAGTGTCACCATTTTGTAAAATTGGACTAATGTAATTCCACAACTCTGGAGTAAATGTATGATTTTATTTTTTTCCTAGGTGCTAATGTACATGCTACCACAGCAACAGGAGACACAGCTCTAACCTATGCTTGTGAAAATGGACATACAGATGTTGCAGATGTTTTACTTCAAGCAGGGGCCCATTTAGTAAGCTATTTTAAATTTCAAATATTTATGCATGAATGTTAATACTTATTCATTTGTATCATTTGAAAACATTGGTAATGATCATAGGGATTTGATAGTGTGGTTCTTTGGGTAAAGGTTTTGCTGCCAAAACTTGACAACTTCAGTTTGATTCCCAGAACCCACATGGTAGAAAAAGATAACTCGGGTGCTGGAGAGATGGTGCAGACGTTAAGAGCATCAGCTGTTCTTCCAAAGGTCCCGAGTTCAAGCCCACAGACATCTGTGGTGAGATCTGGTGCCCTCTTCTGGCCTGCTACTGGCACACATGCAGGCAGAATACTGTATCAATCAATCAGTAAATAAATAAACAGACAAAAAAAAATCCTAAGGAAAAAGATAACTCTCAGAAATTGTCCTCAAACCTCATATGTGCATGTGGTCGCACACACATTTATTCAATTGGCTACCGTAAGTTATTGGATATATCATATGCATTTGAAAAGCATGTTTAATAGAAAATACTGTTTGTTTTCTTGGGTAAAGCTATCAGTTTCTCATCCTACTCCCATTTAACTTGTACTTTTTAAACTGCTATTTATTACATAATGTCATAAGATTCAGTTATCTATTCACAGAATAGAATAAACTGTCAGTTCACTTGGGTGATTCTCTGACCGAAAGCATTTGAAAGCAAAGCTGCTTCTGAAGACAGTTGAGTGTTGGAGGGTCTGGCTGACATCTGCAAGGCCGCAGGTCCAGCCCCAGCTTGACAAAAGCCGATACATCTTCCTAACAACATTACCATATTTTATTTTATTTTTTTCTCTTTTTGTATTTGGCTTTTCATAATATCAAATTAATACAAATACCTTTTAATCATTTCCATAAGAGATATCCTCTAATAGATACCTGAGAATATTGTTGAAAAGTAATTGAGTAAAGTGTATAATATTGTTATACTATTATTTCTACTAATTCTAAATGCTGTAATGATGAGCATTATTCCTTTTGGTTTGTTGAGACAGTGTTCTGCGGTGTTTCTGGCTGGCCTGATGCTATGCAGACCCCAGGCTCTTTTCTTAGTCTACCACATGCTGGGATTGCAGGATAGTGCCGCTACATCCCAAGCACTCATTCCTTTTTTGTTCTAATAAGTATATTTTTAAATTTTAATTAATTATTATTATGTATGTGATTTGTGTCAGTGCACAAATGTGAGGGTCAGAGGACACCTTTGGACAGTCAGTTCTCTTACGGGATCTAGAGATTGAACTCAGGTCATCAAGTTTGTATGACAAGCGCTTTTACCTGTGGAGCCATCTGTCACTTTACAATGTGTGGAGGTGTGGGTGTGGATGGAGGCCAGAGGTTGATGTTGGTGTCTTCCTCCATCACTCTTCATCTTTTATCTTGAGGTAGAGTCTCTAAGTTAAACCTACAATTTACCAGTTTGGTTAATCTAGCTAGCTGGCTTCTGCTGTCTCTGTCTCCCATGTGCTGGGATAATGACAGGCCACACCATATAAACTTGGCATATATGTGGGTGTTGTGGATCTGAACTCTGGTCCTTATGAGTGTACAGCAGACTCCCTGCTAAGGTATCTATCAGCTTTAGCACCCATTCTTCTCAAGCAGGATCTGCTGTATGAGTTAACATTTCTGGGAGATACCTGAGATTATGACAGATCTCAGTGTGCTGCCTTTCTGTTTGTTTCTTTTTCTTTTCCTCCTCTTTTTCTTTCTTGGTGTGTGTATGGATGTATGTGCATCTTAAAATTTTATACATTAAACATTGGAAAAGTAACTAAAATCTTAATCATTTCATCAAATCACTAATGTGATATGAATAGGTAAAGAGAATGGTTTACGCATGTAACCTGAGTACTCTGGAGACTGAGACAGAAGGATTGTTGCGAGAGTTCCAAGCCATCCAAGGTGTGAGAGTCATAAAACAGACTAATCAAATCAAAAGAAAACAAAAAATCTGCTGTATTATTCTTATTTGTAAAATGAAATGTTATACCATCTTTAGAATATTTTACTATGGTCATGTAAATTTTACTGTGGTTGTTAAGAGTTTAAGGAAAAATCCGAAGGAGTACAATACAGTATAGTAGAAGTGCCTTTTCTTATGCTGAGAGATAGTAAACTTGGGTCATGTTTCGTTTTGTCTTGTTTTGTGATATGGTCTCATGTTACCCAGGCTTTCTCTGAACGTGCCATGTAATAGATAAGGGTACCCTTGAAGCCCTGGTGTTCTGGCCTTTACTTCCTGTGTGTAGGTGCTCTATTCCAGTTGATATAATGACTGCCTAGTATACCTGAGGCTTCAAGTTTGATTTCCAGCACAGCATAAACCAGATGTGACACATACTACACACACATGGGAACTGAACCCTGGTTCTCAGTAAGAGCAGCAGCAAGTGCTTTTAATTGTTGAGCCATCTCTAGCCACCACTTTTCCTTTTTAGTGAGATGTTTAGAACAGATGAATTGTAGTTAAGTGACTGAAAGAGTCTGTTTATATGATTTGTAAAGATCGTGTTAATCTAGTTACCTGTCTGCAAGCATGGATGGGTTATGTGGTCATAAAATGAAATCCTTGAAAAGATAAATTTTTAAGGTATAAATTATTACTGGTAATGGTGGTGTTATATAAGTTGTCTTCAAATCTTTGTGTTTATGAGTCTAGAGGAATGGGCTTGCAGAAGACCTGAGTTTGGTTCCCAGTACTCTTGATGGGTGGCTCACAGCCATGTGTAACTTCAGTTCAGGAATCCTCAAACGCCTGCACTCATGCCCAGACCTCCTCACCATATACATAATTAAAAACTAAAAGCCTTATATGTACTAGATGTATCATAAAACATACCATTTTTTAAAATTACTTATGAGGACTGCTTACCAACCTTTACAGAGGAAGAGTTTATTTGTTTTAATAGATGAGAGTTGTTATCACTAAAATAAGCAGTTAATACATTGCCTATTTCATTAAAAAGGAATTTAACATTATAATTTCAAATCATGGGCTGAAGCAATATCTCAGTGGTAGAACACTTGCTTTGTTTATGGATTCTTTCCTAATAGCAGAAAGTGAAAAAATGGAAATCATCCATCTCGTTTTTTTTTTTTTTTTTTTTCCTCATACAGTTTCATGCTACTTAAATAGGTCGAAAAAGTAGGAAAGAAATTTTTTCTTGATGTCAGTACTCAATTAGGAATATGATTCCTTGGGTTACTTTTTGTCATTTACAATTAATTTGACTCACAGTTTCAGAGTGTTCAATTCAGAATTGCTTTATCTTGTTTGTGTGAGCAGAGCATCATAGTAGAAGTATGAGGTGGAGGGTGCTCTTCATTTCTTGGCAGATATTAAATAAATAGAAGCTTTCTTTTCATAACCATATTATTGTATGTCTGTACTTAATTTGCTTTGCTTTTGTGCATTAATACTGTACTACATGGGGGGCTGGAGAGATGGCTTAGTCGTTATGAGCATGGTCTGATCTTCCAAAGGACCAGGGTTCAGTTCCCATCACCCACCTGGCAGCTCACAATTGTCTGTAACTCCAGTTCCAAGGGATCTGATACCCTCTCACAGTCATACATGTAGGCAAAACAGCAATGCACATAAAATAAAAATAAATAATTTTAAAATATTTCTATACATAGAAAATAAACTCAGATCAGTGTTTAGTATGTGGCTTTCTAAAACTTTCTTACCTGCTACTTTTATTGTCATTCATTATATACAATAATGGGTTCAATTATGACATTTTCATATACATATGTATTTTGATTATATTTATTCCCCCCTTTCATTACCCTCCCTTGTCCTTTTCCCATTTTTCCTTGATTTCCTTCCTTTTCCAAAGTAGTCTCCCTTCTACTTCATGGGTTTTTTTGTTGTTGATGTTGTGACCCAGTGAGTTTAGTTTAGGATTGCTTACAGGTCTTCGTGAGGTTATTTATGGGAACATGGGCAACTTACCAGTAGCTACACCAGAAGAAACTGTCCCAGCAACATTAACTGCCTCTAGGTCCTCAGGGAGGGATGGGGCCTTGTGAGGCCCTACCCCCAAGCGACTGTTAACTGCCCCTCCCCCTTCCATAAGGGAATGTTGACAACTCAGTCATGTGTAGGTCTTATGCAGGTAAGCACAGCTGCTCTGAGTTGATGACTAAAGGTCTCGTCATACCACAGAAGACAGCATTCCATAAGACTATACCCCTTCCTTCAATTCTTACATTCTCTCTACCCTTCTGTGCTATTCCCTGAGATTTGGGCTGGGGGGTGAAGAATGGTACCCATACCATGTAGGGCTAAGCATTCAACAGTCATTTATTCTTAGCACTTTGCAGTAACACCAACCACAGCAAAATGAAGTGTCTTTGACCAGAGCTGCCAGAGTAGCACTAATCTATTGACATAAGTGTAGGGTTTTTTTTGCTGTTGTTTTGTTTTTTAATGTGTATGCCATGTGTGTAGGTGCCCCGGGGAGGCCAGGAGAAGCTGTCAAGGTCTCTTGGAGCTGCAGTTACAGGCCTGATTTGGTACTAAGAAGAGAACTCTGGTCCTCTGAAAGAGCGGGTAGCCCTTTTAACCACTGAGCCATTTTTCCAGTGCCTCAACATAAATATTTAGAGGTCATTTTGACCATTCACAACATGCCCATATAGTAAAACAACAGTAGTTACTTCCTGTCTAGAGCTTGTGAGCAGGATGAGTCACATTTAGGTTTGAGTAGGCTTGAGTAGGTTGATGTTGTTTTAAAGACAACCCCTGCCTTCTAGAGTGCTGGAATCATAGGCGTGTACAAAGCATACCCAGACAGTTATTTAAAGTAGCCCATGTTCTTTTGAAGTTACGTGTCAAACAGGAATAATAGATCAAATTTTTGTTCCATTTCTCTTTTTATAGAAACATCAGAATAGGTTTCATGATGGATACTTTGTACTATAATGTTTGAACGGGGTTTGCTATTAGTTGAGATTAATATGGGAGGGAACAGGGAGAGAAACTGAGTACTTGACTGTCAGCTTCAAATCATGTAATGATCTCAGTACTTTTTTACTCGGTCTGTATCATAGGAACCTGTGCACTGGGAGGTTGGAGTTACTTGTAAGTGAACACTTTCCAGACCACATTGTTTTTTATATGATAGAGATCCTGTTGACTCTAGTCAATGATTGAAAAGCATTAAACACATTTATAATGAAAGGGAAAACTACAAAACTAATTGTCTTAAAATAGCATTTGATTTTTTTCTTATACCTCTTGACATCTTAATTATCCTTAGGGAGATATTCTAAAATGTTCCTGCTTGAAACGTTAGTTTTCTTTAGAGACCAAGGCAGGGGTGCCTACAATTTAGATTAATTACTTCCTTACAAGAGTTATACTAACATTTTATTAAAAGACTATTATCATATCCTTAAAATACTCTCGTCAAGCTTTCTGTGTCAGGTAGCTCTCTCTTAGGGGCCAGCCTGTTGTACACACTGAGTTCTAGGCCAACTGAGGTTACTTAGTGATAATCCTGTCTTAAACAAAACCGCTTATAGCAGTGTGGTGTCTCATGCCTTTAATCCCAGCACTCTGGAGGCAGAGGTAGGGATTGGAGGACAGCATGGTCTACACTGTAAGTTCCAGGACAGCTAGGACTACATAGACAGACTTCGTTGCAAAAATAAACAAAAACCTTAATGATCATAAGATTATAGTCTTCATTAATTAGGATTGTTTTACTTGAAAATGCACCTGAAGTGCCAGTGAGAAGGTCTTCACAGCCAGATTTAATTCTCATTTTTAGGGCAAGATCTGTAAGTTTTTTTTTTTTTTTCTTTCTCAGGACATGAAGACTATTTTGAAGAGCACAGTTTCAAGCCAACGATTAGATTATAGCAGCCTTTGAGGCTTATAAACTGCTACCACATAGAGTAGATATTATAGGTAAATAGAACTTGAGATGTTTGAATTCAAGCTAAGAAATTTAAAGACTTTGTTGACTGACAAAATCCTCTTCAATTTAAAAATATAATGTCTCAATAGACAGATTTGCATTGCTAGTGGTTCATTTCCTTAGTGTTATTTGTATGTAGTATTTTTTTAATCTCCCAGAAGAACATAAAAGTTACTGTTAGTGAATCTCAAATTTAACTGAGCAACCTTCTACTCATTAATTTCTTGATTAAATATCACAAGCAGAATACACATGAGGTAAAAGAAGTCCAGTTGGTGACTCAGCTCAAACAGAACATTTTCATTGCTGAGTGTAGTGGAAATCCCAGCACTTGGGAGGCAGAGGCAGGTGAATCTCTGAATTTGAGACTAGCCTGGTCTACTGAATGACTTCCATGACAGGAGAAAAATGCAGCACAGTTGTTTTTTTTCCCCCCTCTTGATAAGGCACTGTCATTTAAAAATTAAACTGGAGTATTGAAAATAAAGTTCAGTTTTGTAATATAAAAGTTTGGCAGGAAGTATCAGGTGGCAGTGGGATTGTGTCTTCCTGACAATTAAGAAGAAGGAATAACAGCTGTGACGTGCTTTCTCCTTCTTACTGAAGGATCTTTAGCTTAAATTGCCTAAAGTTGTAGATAGAGTAAATATGGCCACAAACTGTGGTTGCTTGACTACTGATGGCATCAAAAGTATATTCAAGCAAGACCTGGGAGCTTATGCCTATAATTCCAGTAACGGGGGGGGGGGGGGCAAGTCAGTAGGATTGCTATGAATTCAAAGCTAGTTTGGGCTCTGTAGAATGAATTCAAGGCCAACTTGGGCTATCGTGTGAGAGATCCTGTCTCAAAACAAAAACAAATAATAATAATAAAAAAAAGTGCTCATGATTGTTTTCTGTACTTGTGTTTGTAAAAAGACAGAGAGGTGCTGATGAGTTTGTGTTGAAAGCTGTTCTGGTATACTGCATATAATAAACATGGTAAATATTTACATAGCCTTTGTTTAATAAACCATATGTTTAAATGAAGCTAACAAAAGCAAATAGGTGTATAGGTGATTTTTTTCCCCCATTATTGTTTTGTTTTCCTTAAATTTTTTTTTACATTTATTTCTCTTATGTGTGCGTACATGCACGTTGCGCCTGTGGAGATCAGAGGACAACTGAAAGAGTCAGTTGTCCCCCTCCATTCTGTGGCTCCAGGGCTTGAACTCAGCTCATCAGCTTAGGCTGCCAGCACCTTTACCTACTGAATCAGGTCACTTGCCTTTTTTGGAGATGGAGTCTCAAGTAGCCAGGGTTTGCCTCAAGTTCTGCATGCAGTTGAAGAAGGCTTTCAATTGTTTGTGTGCCTCTACTTTTGGGTGCTAGGAAGACAGGCACGGACCATGGATACATAGTTTTGAAATAGACTTAAAAGATAGTAAATAAAATGTGCAATAAAGCAAAATAAAAGAATTCGGATAGAAAAGCTAGACAAAGTCCTTTAGGCCATTTGATGTCTTCACTGTGTATATATTTTTAAATCTAGATGACTAGAAATGCTGGTTGCCTACACATAAATTCAAAATCCATTTTAAAACTGGATTATTTTAGCATTATCTATAGGTGCTCATTCTCTCATAACTTAAGAGTTAGTAAAAAATATTACCTGATCAACATGTGTAACAATAAAAAGGCAAAGTAAACTAATTTTATCAGTAGTTGAACAATATACACAACCTGGACTTCATGGCCACTTCTTTCTTAGACATAGTGGGTAGGATGTACTTGTGGGCTTAGTGCCTTCAGGGCCTGAGACAGAACAGTTGTGGTTTTGAGGCCTGCAGACCCTGTCTCAAAATAAAATTTAAAAGAAAAAGTCCTTTTGGATTGGAATTTCTTTTGCTGCAATCCAGCTTAAACTTTCTAATAGGCTGATAATCCATACTTATTTAACTTTTTATTTACTTGATGTTTATGTGTGTTGTGTATGTCTGCACACCACATGTGTGTTTGGTGCCTGGGGAAGCCAGTAGAGGACATCAGATTTCCTAGAACTAGATTTAGAGAAGCTTGTGAACCACCATGTGGGTTCTGGGAATCAAACTTGGGTCCTCTGAAAGAACAGCAAGTGCTCTTAACTGCTTAGCCAACCATCTTTCTAGCCCCCACACTTAGTTTAGTTTTCCCTGTTGACAAAGCACCTTTTTAAATCGAAAGTATGGCAGCTAAGTGAAATAAAACCATCACCTTTTCAGCCTTTTCTTAGTAATAAATCAACTGGAACAGCATTTACATATGTAGTATAATTTAAACATGAACCTGGAGGATAGGTAAGAAAACTCTTCATAGAAGCAAGTTATCAGCAACAATTTCACTACTTAGGTGAATGTAGCAAAAGTTTGCACACTAACCGTACAAGTTCCATTGAGTGCCATTTGATATATAAGGCCTGGTTAGAAGCATTCTTGTAGCTGGCAAACTTTCTAGAGAAGAAACATGATCTTGCTGCTAATACTATATCTTTTGTCTTTAACTATTTAAGTGTTTAGTTTCTATTCTTAAAAAATTCTGTCCATTGTTATATTTCCCCCCTTATAAAATACTATAATGATTTTCTAGTGTCTTGTTTTCACTTTCTAGTAGAATCCTTTAAAGTGTATGTGTGCATAGATGTATGCCACACACATAGAGGTCAGAGGACAACTTCCATCTTTTGGTAGAATTTTTAATAGCCTTTAATAAAATATCTGGATCCTTTTAATCACCTTACAGGACTTAAGTTCCCCCCTCCCAAAGAGTTCAAATGAATAGTTAATATAATTGTAATTAGAAAAATGAAGTTATAGGCTGGAGAGATAGCTCACAGGTTAAGAGCATCGGCTCTTCTTCCAAAGGTCATGAGTTCAATTCCCAGTAACCACATGGTGGCTCAAAACCATCTATAATGACATCTGGTGCTCTCTTCTGGCACGCAGGCATCATACTGAATAAATAAATAATAAATAAATAAATAATAAATAAATAAATCTTTAAAAAAAAATGAAGTTATTGGAAACTCAACTAAACATTAGTATTGTTATCTTTAATGATTATTGTTGGGTATGCAAGGTTGAATTTGCCCGTGATAGCTTATGCTATCTAGTGTAACTGAAGAGAGTCTGTACATTAGAAGAATTGAGGTTGGTAGTGTGACTGTCCACATGAGTAAGCGTTAAATCCTCATTGTTTATCGTATCATTAGTGCTGGGTCCTTAAATGTTTAATTAGTTGACTGATTTGCTTTTTTTTCTTTAATAGGAACATGAATCTGAAGGTGGAAGAACACCTTTGATGAAAGCTGCAAGAGCTGGTCATTTGTGCACTGTTCAGTTTCTTATTAGCAAAGGTAAAGCAAGTTCAGAAAGTGGTAGTTTTCAAAAGCCTTCCATTCCTGAGAAAAATACTTGGTGGTTACAAATAGTCAGACTTTTTGTCGTTATATTTTATATAGTAAACATAGAGTTTGTGAGGTGCTTACTAGAAATTTCCTTATTAGTCTTTCGGTTTTTCATCAAACAGTATATGATTTTTCCTGAAAACTGGAGAGGGTAAATGTAAATGACCACTGTTCTCCAGTAAATATTGGACACTTACAAGGCAGTTTTGCTGCAGACTCAGGTGGGAGATGCTGTACTTTTTGTCAGACAGTTGCATTAACAGTACACAAAGGTCTTTTAAAAAATATGCCATGAAGGCTGTGCATGGTGATGCATACCTATGTCAGCATGCAGAGAAAGGCAGATGGAGCTCTGTGTTTTAGGCTGACCTAATCTCTAGAAGTTCCAGGCCAGCCAGTGAGATCCTGTCTCAAATAAATAAGTAAATGTTCCTTGAAACAGTATGGTTGCATAAGGAAGACCTACATGGTGACACTACCAATAGGCATCCCAATAGGGATGGGGAAATCTTACAAGGCTCAACCTTATAAGCTAGATCAATAGCTACAGGCAGTTTATGGCTGCTGGGGTGAGGGGACAACTATGAAGCAGATGGATAACTTTTACAGTTCTCTTATGCTTCTATAATTAAATACAACACCTAGTCATATCCAGCAACAACTTGCTAAGAATATAATTAGAATTGCCAGGAATTAAGAACACATCAAGTACCACCTTTCTAGGTTGTAGCAATTGCTAAGTAATTCCATTGTCTGAATTCAATTATTAAACAACTCTTTTGTTGATTATTAATATTAAATATTAATTTATCTTTTAGTTGAACAGCAGTTATTCCTAAACCAGCTATATACCCAAATCACCACACAGAGACTAGGATTTATTTAATTAACCTAGAACACAATTGTGGGCAATAATTACTCCATCCTAAACCTTCAAGCACGCATAGCTTCTCTCATTCAGATTTCCCACATTCATTATACTTGCTTTTTAGACATATTTTAGGTCCAGTTGGTTCATCTCTCCTGCTGTTTCCAGGTCCTCCCCAGCTCTCTCTCTCAGATCCCCTCTCACTTGCTTCTCCCTCCTCTTCTCTGGACTAGGATGTCCCACTCTATTCTCTCCATTGCTCAGCATTGTCTTGTTGTTTTATTGACAATACAGAGAACAAATGGTGGCATATTTACACAAACTTGAGACAGGTGGTGCTTAGAATAAGCATCACAATGCAGTGTCTGGATTGAAACCAGAGAGTGGGGTAGAGAAATCAGCATGTGAATGAACAAGGGTAAATTGTATACATTCCATAAGAAAATTATACCAACACAACTTAAAACATAATTTCATGTTTTAATGTAAGATCATTCATTATTGTCTTGTCTTTCTCAAAAGGTTGTCTTTATGTGATTTGGGATCATTTTAGTTGAAGATTAAACAAAATACAACAGTACTTTGGTTTTTTTGTTTTGTTTTGTTTTCTTACGTGACACCAGTTTATAGTCAGAGTTAGTAGTTACCACAGTTGGGAGTAACTGAAAAGGGTGCACATCATGGGACTTAAGGGTCGTGAATAGTATTCTATTTCTTGATCTGAGTTCTAGCTACACAGGTGTGTCCTCTTTGTGAAAAGTTTTAAGCTATATACCTATGATTTATATTTGTATCTCTTATACTTGAGAGAAATCTTTAAATGATGTTATAAACTTGATCTCACCTTTGTTAAGATTCCTGTTTTTCTTTAAAGGTGCCAGTGTGAATAGGGCCACAGCCAATAATGATCACACGGCAGTGTCACTAGCCTGTGCAGGAGGCCACTTGGCAGTGGTTGAACTACTGCTGGCTCATGGAGCTGACCCTACTCATCGACTCAAGGTATTCTACTTTTTTGGTTTTGTTTGAAACAGGGTTTCTCTGTAATTCTGTCTGTCTCTGGAGCTCACTTTGGTCCCAAACTCACAGAGATGCTCCTGCCTCTGTCTCACAAGTGCTGGGATTAAAGGGCTGCACCACCACACCCAGCCCAAGTTATTCTACTTAACTACAGTGTGTAAGTAATACTAGCTGAGTATGGTGGCCTATGCCTATAATCCTTTCAGTAAGGATTCAGTGAGGCAGTACCAGTGTCAGTGGACAGCCAGCATGGAGTAAGTATTGAGACTCTGTTTCCAACAACAACAAAATACAAAACAAAACAAAAACAAAAAACAAGCAAACAAATAAAAACCACCAAATAATAAGATATAATTAAAGGTATGCTTGATATTTTAGTGCTTAATAGTTATTACTGTCAATGATACTTGAACTACCTATGGTGGCATAGTGTTTGGGAAACCAAAGCAGCAGGATTGCCTTGAGTCCAAATCAAGTTTTAGGCTAAATAGCAAGAACTGTGTCTCAAAACCTGAAAGTAAAATTAATACATATGATTTTATGTGATTTACTAAGTAATTTTATCAGAGTATAAGAATAAATTTTATAAAGAATTAACTATGATCATTCTTTCTTAGGATGGATCAACAATGCTTATTGAAGCTGCAAAAGGTGGCCATACTAATGTTGTTTCTTATCTGTTGGATTACCCAAATAATGTTCTATCGGTTCCCACCACAGATGTGTCTCAGCTTACCTCTCCTTCACAAGATGAATCTCAGGTAGAATGAAATAGACTATTTATTGATAATAAGTATTCTTTGAAAGTTTTTGTTTAATGAAAGTAGTAGTTCTTTTCTGTTTAGTTATCCTTGAAATTCATAGTATACTCCAATTCATTAAATAGGTTAGAATTTAATTTTATCTTTTATTCATATTGAATTTGAACAAAAGTAAATTAGTCAATATATAGTGAGTATGTGATATGTACTTCTCACTATAATTGGGACATCAAGGCTTTCACTTCTAGAGGTAATAATATTAGTATTATTTAACCTAAATCATCAAGCACTTATAGATTGTTTTGAATCTTCTTATTCATATTCCCAGAAATTATTTTTGGTGAAGACTTTAAAAAATTTTAAGCTTTAGTAAATAAAGTAAGGGGGTGGGAGAGATGGTTCAACAGTCAGAAGCACTTGTTACTCATCATCTATAAATTCGATTCAGAGGATCCTATGCCTTGTTCTGACTGCCAAGAGCACCAGGCCACCATGTAGCACATACATACATTCAGGCAAACACTCACAGACATAAAGGGAATAAATCTAAGAAAGAAAAAAGTGAACTTGATGGTATATGAAGAAAACAAAGTTTTCTTTGTTTTCTGTGTTTTATGTATGGACCTTTGTTTCCTCCTGTGATCTGAGATGACTTTTTCTGAGTTGACGTTGTAGGTTCCACGTGTACCCGTACACACACTTGCCATGGTTGTGCCTCCCCAGGAACCCGACAGAACCTCCCAGGAAACATCTCCTGCCCTTTTAGGAGTGCAGAAAGGTTAGTTGTTGAATTATTTTCCTTAAAATTGATACTTTTTCAATTGATAAATTATAGTTTAATAGTACATAGGCACTTAATGTACCTGTGGCTAGTTGAGATGCATAACTTTGACAAATGTCAGTAGTGTTAGAGGATACTTAAATAAGATAGTCCGAAGAATTAGAAAACTGTCTTCCTTTTTTCCCTGCTAACATACTGCTAGATGTAGTTTTCTATTGGCCATACGCATAATTACTTAAGAAGTAAATTAAACTTTTTATTACATTAAAGCAGAAAAATTTGTCAAACCTTTTTTTTTCTTTTTTTTGTGTTTTTTTTTTTTTTTTTTTTTTTCTTTTCCTTCTCAAGAGAGGCTCTTGCTATGTAACTGTGTCTGGCCTAGAACTCACTAGTTAGAACAGGCTGGGCCTGGTCTTGTGGCAGTCTTTTTGCCTCTGCCTTAGTGCTGAAAATATGAGCATGTGCTACCACACCCAGCTTCTATTTGACAGTATTTTAGCCAAACTATAGTGTAATAATAAAAATGTGTGCTGGCTGCCTAGTATATCTTTATAGCATCAATGTACTTAATGAGAAAGAGGTTGAAATGTTGTATTCAGTGCATATAATGTTGGAATATAGTGGATGAGCTGAACAAATAATTATCAGTCTGTGAACTTGGATGATTAATTATCAAAATGTATGTGAATAAAATCCAGGTGACTTTCTAAATGACTTGAATTTTTTGGCATTGAAGACAGGGCTTCACATTGTAACCTAACCTGTCCTGGAACTCTCTATGTAGTTCAGGCTGCCCTCACTCCTGCTTTTGCCAGTCTTCTTGCCTTAGCCTTCCAAGTGCTAGAATTATAGGCCTGAGCTGCAAATGATTAAGAGGAGTCTACACTGTTTGAAGGAGGGGTTCAAGCTTATTAGCTCTGGTTTTGTTCTCTTATTGTTTCATTTGAAGACGTTAAAGTGTCTTTTCTTGATAATTATATGTTGTAATATCTGAGTTTGCTGAGTTTCTAGGATATTAAAAACTACATAAGAGTTGGAACTGTTGTATAGTAGTGAAACAATTATGTAGCATACATGAGGCCTTGGTTTTTACTACCAGTACCCTCTGCCCAAAAAACTTGCTATAAAAAATTTATGAATACATCTTATTTAGTATATCATAAAGACTATTGAAATCACAACTCAATATGTAAGTATATGGTAATGTAGCCACCATGCCTGGATTCCTGATGTTTTTAATCTTAGCAAATAGAACATATATTTTTAAAGGGCTCTGAACATCATAACCAGCTAATAGTCTTTTCTAAAATATTTTAAACTTCTTGTTTTTATTTTCAGATGGAAATAATTATTACTGTGTTCATGTGTTTACATGATATGTGTGGGAATACATGTGCTGTAGTGCATGTAGGGAGATCAGAGGACAACTTTGTGGAATAGGTTCTGTCCTTCCAACTATGGTTGGGTTCTAGGGATCAAACTCAGGTCACCGGGCTTGTTTTGTGGTTTGTTTTTGTTTCTCAAGACAGAGTTTCTCTCTGTAGCTGTGGCTGTCCTGGAACTCACTCTGGAGACCAGGCTGGCCTCAAACTCACAGAGATCACCTGCCTTTTTTTCCCAGAGTGC